GGGTCAGTGGGTCACTACGGCTCAAGGTGGCTGGGAGAAATCATCTCTAGACCGTGTGCTAGGAGCAGAGGAGAAGGTGGTGCGCGACACCAGCCGCAAAGGGAGAATGGGAAGAAGTGCCCTCGTTGCAGGTGACTAAGGGGCAGCAGGAACACGGTGGTGCGGAGAGGCACACAACAAAGGTCGGGAGAGGTTGCTCGGGCGGCAGCCACATGATGCAGGCAAGATGCACAACAGGGGGATCTGGAGCTCGGGGAGAAAACCATAGACACGTGGCCGGTTTTCCTAGCAAATCTGATTTTGTATCCGGGTTTGAGACATGGGGACTAAATATCATCCAGAAAAAACTTGAGGGTCCAAATGTAGATTTTCGGTGAACTTGAGGGGCCAAAAACATACTTTTCTCTTTGGCAAATTACAGTTGTAGGTGTTTTTTTTGGACCGCACCTCCCATTTTCTATTACCCGACATAACAGAAATACAACCCTGGGCGGAAGATGTGCGAGGCGAGAAAGGTATATAGAAAGAGTTTGAGTATTGCCTATAGACAACAATGCTACATCCACCAAATATTATGTTTTTTTATGGAGTGATAGTGACTTGCCAGGTTGGATTGGATTAAGGGGGAAAGAGATGGGCCCCACCCACCATGAAATTCGGGGGGTGAGGATAATTTTGAGGAATGGCCCGTAATATTCCCGTAACAAGCCCATTAGTTTACCATTTTTTATGCACACCCATAATCAGTTCGTGCATTACGGAGTGAAAACATGACATCACTATCAGATTTTGCAAAGTGCAATGACCAACATCCAAAATAAAAATGTGCTCTGTTGTTTAAAGTTGATTTTGAAAAAGACTATGACAATGTTAAATGGCTTTATGTTTTTGAAATGTTGAAAATTAAAGGAATTATTGGTAAATGGATTGATTGGATTATGGGGACCATCAGAGGGGGTAATATGCGTATTAAAGTAAATGATAATCTTGGACCATATTTTCGAACTCATAAAGGGTAAGGCAGGGGGGTTCCTTGTCTCCTTTGATCTTTAATCTTGCAGCTGATGCACTGGCAATGCTTACGAATAATGCCAGGAAAAATGGTCTGATCAAAGGCCTGTTACATGATAATTTGGTGGGTGGTGTTAACATGCTGTAGTATGCAGATGACACCATTTTTCTTCCGTGAGGTGATTTTGATAGTGCACATAATTTGAAATAAATATTATGTTTGTTTGAGCAGATGTCTAGGCTGAAAATCAAGTTTCACAAAAGTGAATTGTTCTTGTTTGGAAAAGCCATTGATAAACAAGAGGGGTATTCTGAAATCTTTACTTGCCCTCCGGGGGAGCTCCCTTTGAAATACTTAGGCCTCCCCATAGATAAAAAAATAATTAGGAATAAACATTGGAAACCTCCAGAGGAAACAATAGAGAAGAAATGTGGTACATGTTAGGGGAGGTTTTTAGCTAGCGCTGGTAGGATTACTCTGATTCAATCCTCGCTGACTGGTATTCCCTATTACATGATGCCATTCTATGGATTGGCTGTTGGGGTGAATAAGAGAATGATTTTTTTAGGGCTAAGAGGAAATACCATCTCGTTAAATGGTCTGAAGTGTGTAAACCTAAAAACATGGGGGGTTGGGGATTCAAAATCTGGCTTTGATGAATAAAGCCTTGTTATGTAAATGGTGGTGGAAAATTTACATTTCTCAGTCCCGGTCTGAGCTATTAAAACAGAAAGAGTTCTTCTTTTCTTTGTGTAGATTTATTGTGGGGAATGGGAGAAATGTCAAATTTTGGGAAGATTAGTGGTTGGGGCCAAAGTCTCTGAAAGATAGCTTTCCTAGGCTGTACAATATTTTTTTTGAAAAAAAAAACAAATCAGTTGCTGATGTGCCCGGGGAGGGTTTAGACACATTCCGCTTTAGAAGAACCTTATATGGTGAGTCTTTGGAGCTATGGGAACACATCAAAGAGGCTTGTGGGGCATTTAGATTGAATGAACATTGACTGGAATGGAAAATACACTATGAAATCTTGCTACAGGTTTATGATACAAACTGGGATAGTTATCCACATAAATTATTGTGGAAAATCAAGATGCCCCCGCGCGTCAAAGTCTTTATGTGGCTAACCTTGAGGGGGATCATTCTTACTAAAGATAACTTGATTCATAGGGTTTGGATTGGAAATAATAGCTGCTCTTTTTGTGGGAGGGAAGAAAATATTAATCATCTCTTTTTTCATTGTTCTGTTGTGAGGATGTTGTGGATGGTTATGAAATGTGCTTTTAACATGCATGATATTCCTGATAACATACAACACATGTTGGGAATATGGATAATTTTTTTAACAAAAATGATAGAGATCTTATGGCAGTTGGTGTTTCTGCTATAGTTTGGACTCTTTGGAAACTTAGAAATAAAGTGGTCTTTGAGAATAACAGGGTTTTCTGATCCCTGTGTTCCAGTTAATCTGATTGTGAAAATATTTACATGATTAAAATGTCTTGCAGAAAAACCCAGAAAGAATAAAGGAAATGACGGCGGGCGTAAGACAAGTTGAACAGGTCGCTGAGGAGGTCCTCAGAGTACACACGGCTAGAGAGCGGGGTTAGCAAGAATAGAAGGCCGAACATTTTTCAAATTCGTGAACATTTTTTTGAAATCCTGAACATTTTAAAATTCATGACAATCTTTTTGAAACTCATGAACATTTTTTTTTGAATCGGTGAACATTTTTGAGTCAACGATTTTTTTGAAATTTGGGATTTTTTTGAAATTAACGATTGTTTTTTGACTTTCGCGAACATGTTTAAAAAAATCGTGAACATTTTCTGAACATGGGTACTTTTTCCTTTCACGATTTTTCTGTCATACTATGAACATTTTTTGAATAAGCAAGCATGTTTTACCATTCATGAATATTTTTGAAATCCACAAACAATTTTTAAATATATGATGTTTTTTATAATCACGAGCTTTTTATATTACGAACATTAAAAAAATCACATATTTCGAAATTTTACAACCTTTTTTTAATCCTGAATTATTTTATAGAAGAATAAAACAAAAACAGAAACAAAAAGAAAAAAGAAAAAAGAAAAAATAATGGCGCATCCAGATCCGCAAATGAGCCGGCCCAAAGTGGTGCGCCGGTGGAAGGGAGGCCAGCTCGCAGGGTGCTAAATAGGAGGTCCCAATGGAGAATTTTTTTTGAGAAATACGTAGGTCCCAAAGGAGATAACGTGGACATGGTTGGCAGGTAGGCCAGTAGATGATGACAACGATGCGAGGCCACGTGGGCCAAACATCATGGGCATAGTCACACACTTGTCTCCGAACTGATAGATCATGAGAATGCACGCTGGAACACAGACCTCATTGAGCAAGTTTTCTTACCGTATGATGCAGCGGCCATATTGAGAAATCCTGTGTGTACTCGGGCCATGAATGATTTTTGCTCATGCGGTTTTTGAAAAGAATGGAATATTCTCAGTTCGGTCGGTGTATAGGATGATCGTGGAAACGAAAAAGAGGAGGGAGGATTGGTTGGAGGAGTGAGCTGGGTCCTCAAATAATTCTGAAAACGAGCGTTCCTGGAACACTTTGTGGAAAGTGACAGTCCCGGCAAAGCAAAATTCTTGTGGCGTTTGTCAAAAAATTCACTACCAACAAAGGATGTATGCAAGGATAGAAATATGCCGAATCACGAGGGGTGTTTTGCGAGCGGAGCACAAGACACTTGGAGACACAGTTTACTCGAGTGCAATATGGCGAGGTGTGTTTGGGCATTAGAGGACCATGACCTCCTGGAGCATATGATAGCCACGTCAGAACCTTCTGCCCGTGCTTGGTTATTCTCAATGATGGATGTGTTGAATCACGATGAGTTAACAAGGATGACAGTCATTTTATGGGCTATTTGGTATGCGAGGAGAAAACTCATTCACGAAGGTATAAACCAAAGTCCATATGCTATGCACAATTTCGTTATTAACTTCATAGCTGAATTGGATCAGTTGAGTGCGCGGCCAGAACCTCCACTACAGACGGTTCCTGCACAAGCAAACCAAAATTTCAAGTGGATCCCGCCAGTTCAGGGTTCCATAAAGATTAATGTTGACGTTGCAGTTTCCACCAACCATAATGTTGGTACGGCCGCTCCCGTGTGCGGGACAGTGATGGCGCTTATTTGGGCTCTTCCATGCTGGTCATTCACGGGTTTGTTGGATCCACCGACGCTAGAAGCTATTGCGTGCAGGGAAGGCCTTTGTTTGGCGCAAGATCTTGGGATGGTTCACCATGTCGCTTCAGATTGCAAACAGGCAGTACATCATATACATCAGAGAGTTGAGGGGGACTACGGCATCATCATTAGAGAGATTTTAGATATTTCTCATTCCTTTGCATCTTGTAATTTCTTTTTTGAACCTCGAGCTGCGAATTATGAAGCTCACAGGCTAGCTAGGTTTGGTGTTTCTCTCGCGGTTGGGAGGGATCTTTGGCTGGGTACTCCTCATGACCCAGTTGTAATTCATGCAACCATTTTAGCTAATCAATAAAGCTTAGCAAGCTTTTCTCAAAAAAAAAACTTGTCCGCGTATTTGTGCTTTTTTTAGAAACTTGTGTGCTTGCCCTTCCTTCTTTTCTCTTCCCCAAGCCCGCCCGGCCGCCCGCCCACCCAAATAGATGTTTCTTGTAATGTCGCAGTCCCTCTCGCTTCCTTCAAGTTTTACGGGTGGTCTGTTGGGTTAAAGACCTTTCAAAGAAACGAAGAAAATGTCTTATAAAACTATTATAGCTGCTTGAAATTTGCACTCATTCACAAAGAACATGCTAGCAGGTAAAAAGACCAACTCTCAAAAGTAAAACCATGATTTACATCATTTGTACACCATATCTTGCATGGTCAAAAACCAACTACCCGTTGTCCGGGTAAAAACAATATTTTTCTTTTTACAAAATATGTACATCACATACAAACTATGTAATGTCAGATGGCGAGCACTAGACCCGGCATGGAGCGGCTCTTGGGCCTGGGCGATTGGCTCTCCCATATGGCCCACACCACGTCTTCCTTAGCCGTCTGGCCTAGATTCCTGACGGTGACAGACGTGTTGAAGTACTCACGGAAGTTGGTGATGATGCCGTCGCGGAGGCACCACGCGTGCACCCAGTAGTCGTGCTCGCCGGCCCACCCCTCCGCCACAACCCACTGGCCATCCATGGCGCTGCCGACCTCCGCAACCCGCATTGGCGTGAACCGAAACGCCACAGCACCCGCCGCCTCGCCGGTCAATAGGCGTCGCATATGTTGGCACCGGCGCGGCCCATGGAACCACCAGTCCAGGTCCGCTGCCAGCAGTGCTGTCACGGCCGCCGCGTCGCCACGGGCCAGGGAAGCGTACAGGGACTCTACCACCTCGCGGTTGGACTTGGACGGCGCGTGCTTGCCCATGGTTAACTACAGTGCGAGTGCAAACATGAAAAATGATGAGTAACCTAGTGTCCTGTACCTGAGATGAGAACTTGAGAGAGCGGAGTGTGTGTTGAAGAAGAAGGTAGGCATACGTATATATAGGCTGGTGTGTGCAACCTGACTGGCCGGCCGGGTAGTAGAGGGCATGAAATTACGTGTATACCCATTCTCTCGCTTTTATGCACGCACTGACGCACATGAACAATCTCTGGTTCGGTGATATCTATGAGTTGCTATTTGGTTTTTAATTTGCTGAACTGTAAGTCGTTCTCTCGATGGAGGACTGTGGGACGAGTACAGTATCAGAACGCCATATTTGATCTTCACAACCGAGCCATTTGCAGTTAATTATTCGGAATTTGATTTCAAAATTGTGCCAGCACGCAAGATGTAGTAAATGATGTGTATGTCTTGTACAATGCTATTCATAATTTTTATTGTATAGGCCTGTAAAAATATTTTGTTTTTGGTTTGGAGTGGAACACAAGACGCCTCGGGGCAGATATCCCTGTCTGTCGTTTTCTTTTTGAATAGAAAAAGTAAATGTCCCTGTATATGTACATACACTTCCAACTAAAGCATGGGAGATTAGGGGTAAGAATCACGGTACATTTGCACATGCCACGCATACACAATATATGCCTTTGTCACTTTCACTAATCTTTTTTTTTTCGGGAAAACTTCCAATCTATTCATCTTCAATCATGACAGTACAACGAATACTAGAAATAAAAATTACATCCAGATTCGTAGACAACCTAGCGACGACTACAAGCACCGAAGCGAGCCGAAGGCGCGCCGCCATCATCGCCCCTCCATCGCCGGAGCCGGGCACAACTTGTTGTAGTAGACAGTCGGGAAGTCGTCGTGCTAAGGCCCCATAGGACCAGCACCCCAGAACAGCAACCGCCGCCGATGAAAAATAACGTAGATTGGAAGGATCCAAACCAAAGACACACGAATGTAGACGAACAACGACGAGATCCGAGCAAATCCACCAAAGATAGATCTGCCGAATACACACCTCCACACGCCCACCAACGATGCTAGACGCACCGCCGAAACGGGGGCTAGGCGGGGAGACCTTTATTCCATCTTCAGGGAGCCGCCGCCGTCTCGCCTTCCTGAGTAGGACACAAACCCTAACAAGATTGAAAAAAAACGACTAAAAACGGAGCCCTCCCGCCGGCACTTGCCAGGATCCACCGCGCCTTCATGGCCCTAGGGCCACCGGAGACGAGGCGGACCTGCGCCGGCGCCGGCGAAAGGCACGAACCCTAACTTTCTTTCTTGGAGGAGGAGGAGGAGGAGGAAGGTCGGCTTATCACTTTCACTAATCTGCATAGTAAAACAAACAAGTTAGACTCACCGTCTGTTCGAGTTAGGAATTGACAAAGTGGGATGTAATTGTCATGGACGAAGCAGTGAATACTACGATATTAAGGTATCTCCAACGGCAACCTGCAAAAAAAAACCTGCATCCGTCTGCAGACAGGAGGGGACCAGTCCGCGAACACGGATGCGGGAGGCATCTATCCAACGTTAGCCACATAAATTTCAAACCGCATTTTAACTAACCGGACGAAATTCATGCAAACCGACCGATATTCATCAAAATTTGGATAGAAAATAGCATGAATCATCCACACATAGAATGTAAACTAAGTCTAGTACAACAAGGTCTCGAATTCGACTAGATCCCGGATATCCAACAAGTTTTTCAACGGATCATGTCCTCCCGCACATACTCTCCTTTCAACTTCATCCAACAGTGTGTGCACGTAAATGGCCGTCCCGTTGACCTGTGGTACAGCACGGCGACACATGCGGGTTACATATAATGTGTAGATCAACATTGACTGAATGAATCAATCAACAAGGTTAGCAAGAGGAAGTAAAATTTACCATCTCCTCCGCGTGCAATGGCCACCTTGCCTCGAGCTGACTGACCAAGTTGCAGAACTTGATGACGCTGACCTGGATAGCGTGCCAGTGATAAGACAATACGACATGACGTTGCATGGTCGCATGATGTACACATTGTACGAAAATATATATTAGAGCACATGCACCCAGGCCCTCTCTATCTAGCCATCCATTTCCTGCTTTAAGATTCGCACAAATACATTTCTCTTTTTTGTTTCTCCCACATAGAACATATCTTGAAGTTCAAATCTATGCAGCGTGGCAAAGCTTTCTAAGTAGAATCTAGGATAAATCTTTCAGATTTTTTTTGTCAAATATAAATATACAAAACATGTATTGTTTGATTAAAAAATCATATTTTTAGTATTTATGTCGGACAAAAAATTCTGAAAGATTTATCCTAGATTCTAGTTAGAAAGCTTTGCCACGCTGCATATGTTTGAACTTCAAGATATGTTCTACGTGGGAGAAACAAAAAAGAGAAAATTTCATATAGAAAGTTAGTTGTGTCGCACGGATCTTACAGCGATTATGAAGAGCTAGGATAGCAGGGCCTGGGTGCAAGTGCTCTAAAAATCCATGTCCACAAATTGTAGGGCGCAATGTGCTTTCCCGCGTGAAACTTTTCATGCACTTGCTCCCAGAAGGGCGGTCCTCTGGTCCTCCTATGAAATCCACAGATCCAGCCAGCCACGCATCGGACAAAACTCATCCTCCATGGTCGAGTAGCACACCATCTTTTGTACTCTAAAAAACGACATAGCATTTGAATATAAGCTCAATGACATTTGACTGAACACCTGCCGGGCGTGGTGTCTGCCACGGAGGTCGTTGACAGGGGGCAGATCGTACCTGGGTACAAACGGCTCCAGGGCTGAAAGCTCCGTCGGAATGGCGAGCGGGTGTGTTGGTGCTGGTTGCGGACGTCCGACAATGCCTCTATGGCGGTCAGAGACGAAAAACAGCGGCGGCGAAGGTGCAGGGTGCGGATGCAAAGCAAGGGGGAGAAGGGGCGGAGTGGAAGGCAATGGGACCAGGAGGAGGGATTGGGTGGGCATGGGGTGTTGGAGTCCTACGTTTCGGGTGTTCGGACGCCCGCAAACCTCCCACACTTTTGTTTTCAATATGTGGTTGAAATCGCGTCCTGACCATCCCACGGACCGATACATATCGACATTGGATGGCTTCCGCGGTCCAGATGATTGCGGGAGGTTTACGGGTCCGCCTTGGAGATGCCCTTAGTAGTTATGGGGTGATGCCATGCCAGGTTACCACCATCTCCCCTACCCTTCCCCCTAAAGTTTCATTGAAATAAGAATACGCCGATAGCAAGGAATGCTTGGTTTGTTCGATGAAAATTGAGCGAGAACATGTATTTTTTTTAGAAAAGGGGGACATCCCCGGCCTCTGCATCAGAGTGATGCATACGGCCACCTTTATTAGCAATCAAATAGGTTCAACAATAGTCTTAAAGTCTCAAACAAAAGCTGCTCACAAAGAGCTGGGGAACAAAAATAAAAGCCACAACTGGCTGGCAAAAGAGAGATAGGAAAACTAATTGCCTATCCTATTACATGACCGCCATCCAAACCGGCTGAAAATATCCCGCGCTACCATCTCCCAACAGATAGATCCAGTAACCAAACGCTCCCTGGCCTCCGTCCAAGTGAGTAACGACCACATACGGATCAACGCAGTGGCCCGGAAGATAACCTACAAAAAGTGAGTATTTGTTGTTCTGTTAAAGACCAAATCATTTATGCAATTCCAGATAGCCCATAATAAAGCACATACTCCTACACGAATGTGTCTTGTAGTTTGGGACTCAATCCCATCCAACCACGTCCCAAATAACGTGTTAATATTATTCGGATGGGTAATATTGAAGGCTATGTTAATTGATTGCCAAAGAATCTTTGCCAAAGGACAATCGAGAAAGAGGTGTTTGATTGTTTCATCCCTGTCACAAAAGCTACATCGAGAGGATCCAATCCAGTTGCGTTTAATCAAGTTATCCTTAGTTAAAATGACTTGTTTGTGTACAAACCACATAAACACTTTAACTCTCAAGGGAACTTTGACATGCCAAACATGTTTCGAAGTATGAATAGAACTAGAATTAATAACATCCAAATACATGGATTTAACCGTAAATTCTCTATTCCTAGTAAGCTTCCAACACAACTGATCCAGACGTTGAGAAAGTTGAACATCCATCAATCTTCTCACAAGATGGAGCCAAGATTCCCAACGGTTACCGGCTAACGCTCTCCTGAAGCTGATATTTAGAGGCGTGGACTGACATACTGACTCAATGGTTGCATCTCTTCGTTGAACAATACTATAGAGAGAAGGATACTGAAGCGCGAGAGGCGTGTCCCCTAGCCAAGTATCCTCCCAGAATCTCGTAGAAGTACCGTTAACGACAACAAACTTGGTCCGATTAAGAAAGACCGATTTAACTCTCATCAGTCCTTTCCAAAAAGGCGAATCCATCGACCTCACTATCACCTAGGGTAAAGTTTTGGATTGAAGGTACTTATTACGCAGAATCTGTGCCCATGTGGCCTCGGTCTCTCGAGAAAGCTTATACAACCATTTGCTAAGAAGACATTTGTTCTTCACCTCAAGATTTTCGATACCTAGACCCCCTTGGTCCTTCGATCGACAAATAATGTCCCATTTAGCTAGTCTATACTTCCTCTTCAGCTCATCACTTTGCCATAAGAAACGGGATCGATAGAAATCAAGTCTTTTCCAAACTCCCACTGGTACCTCGAAAAAAGACAAAAGAAACATGGGCATACTTGTGAGAACCGAATTAATGAGAATTAAACGGCCTATATACGACATCAATTTCCCTTCCATCAGCCCAATTTCTTCTCAAATCGATCCTCAATGCACTTCCATTCTCTATTTGTTAGCTTACGATGATGAATGGGTATACCTAAATACGTGAAAGGTAAAGCCCCAAATTCACAACCAAACAATTGCTTATATGCCTCTTGTTCCTCATTAGCTCTTCCAAAACAGAACAATTCTCTCTTGTGGAA